ATGGCGCTCTCAATGTACACTTCTGAAGGAGGAGGAGATGGTTAGACACGAAAATCATGAAAGCTCATGCAAATGTCTTCGACGTATTTTCTACATACCCCACGTCCAGCCCAACGTAGGGGACTCTATGTGTGCTATACCTTATATGAATATAAGCTGCTGATGACAATTACCTCTTGCAAGAGCCTTTGTGAAGCAACGAAAACATTTGCTGGGAGTTCAAGCTCACCCTCAGGCTAAAGTCTGGCAATGACATAACAGACTTCAATCAACCCATCAAATCAACCAAGCTTAATTTCAATGCAAAAATGCTGGATGTTGCTGCAGTTCGCTTTTATTTCAGGGTGAATGGAAATTGTCTGTGAATCTTGTGCAAGGAGGCAAAAAAGTGGCAGGTCTACGAGTAGGAAAAACAAATGATTGGCTAGCAATCGAGGTTCGATTATTTGCTACACAGTTGTTCCCTGAGATTCTCATTACAAACCTAGCGGTTTCCGCAAAACACATGAAAAGATATTCAAACCAAAACTGTGGCCTTTTCCAGTCGGTGGAAGACGACGGCGCTGAAGACGAACCGGAAGCATCCACTCATGAAGAGAGTGAAACTGTGGATCACGAGGAGCTTTAGGTCCAACGGGAAATCGATTCCCCTAGTAGAATGACTTCGTTATCGTTTTGTTGTTGGTCTAATAATGTTTTGTTTCGTTTTTGTTCTCTTCTCTGATTCCCCTTTTTAATACCCAGAGTTTAGCACTTCAGTGAATATTTCCGTTCTGTATGTTACCAAAGTCGCTTATGTTAAGAACCTTCCGAGGTGTATTTGAGGAATGGTGAGGGTTCTAATCGTGAAGATCTGCTACTTCTTCTTCTCGGATTAGCTCCCATACCAGCCTTCCTTCCAAGCAGAATATTTTGTGTCAGCAGATTTTTATATGAGGAATTCGTATTATGAGGACTTTGTGAAACTAATATCGAGTTTCTATTTATGTTGAACCAGATCATTGCAGTATGGTCCAAATGTCGTACTTCTGTAATCGATTCAGTAAATGAAATCATATCAATCTACAGGAGTGACTGGTTCGCTATTTAGTATACATCTGGGACTCTAGGCTTAGTATCAGCTTCGTCTGCAAAACTTGAGGTTCACAAGGGAGTCGTACAATACTGCCCCTAATTCCTGTAAAATCGACGGCTTGAGACGGATTAATCCGTCGCAAAGCGTCGCATTGCTTAAGATCCAAACAAGTGATGTAGTGGGAAACGGAATGGCTTCGACAACCACGTCACGGAGTAAGATCCCGGATCACGCGTCTACCTGGCAAAGCAGGCCGTATATTCTTTAACAGTCGATTGATTAGTTATTAACTTACCTGGCACAACCCATGAATAGCTCATTAGCTGACTCGTTGATCCAAGGATCAAAGCACTGCATCCAGCACCAGCATTCTGGCTGGAAGTAGCATGGCGAACCTCGAAAGGGATCGGTTGACGCCAGGAAATATTTTTCCATTCACCTGATTAGTTCTGGAGG